ACATAGCTTCAAACTATTACAATGGTTGTCACCATTACTGGGTGACAAAACCTACAATAAAATTGCCATGTCCCCACATCTGACAGACAACATGTTAAAATACATATTATATAAAAATGGCATTTATTTGATACTTTATTAAATTAATTTTTACAACACTTATTTGTTTTTTCTTCATTTAAATAATTTTTCCCTAAAAATTTTGTTGGAAATATAAAGAAAGGTTTGTTGTAACCTCTTAATATGAATTTTGGAAATAATTTATGATGCAGGAACTTTATAGCCAATTTAAAAGTACAAACATTCAAGAAAATTATGGAAAAAATAATGCTTTCATAATGTGTCTTCACTGTTTTCATTTTATAATTTTCAAAATTAATTATAAAAGATGATGTTAATGTATAATCAATACTTTAATTGGGTCATTAAGGAAAACTCTTAATTCCTTTTAGAATCTCAAGGGAACAGGAATGGTGATCTGAAATCCAATCACACAATGAATGAGCAATAGAAGGGAACCTAGTTTAGGAAGGCTAATGGAAAGTTTGCTACTGAAATAGAACAAACTTTTCATTTCTAGTATGAAAAGAAATCAAATAAAAGTTACAAGATTTAAGTTTGATTAGATATAATGAATATAAGAAGCAGAGATGACCATACATTGCAGAACTTTGTGTATATGTCCTCTTTTCCTCTTGGTTGACCTTTCACTAATTCCCAAAGATACACAATATTCCATTATCAACAAACAACAGAAAATTTGTGGCTTTTAGCCTATTCTGTGAATATAAAAGAAACTAATAAACAATATTTGTCCACTGTCCCAAGAAACTTCATCGTATGTTATTCAAAACAACATTCTTTGTCTTCAAGGCCACGATAGCCCCGAGCCACCTTGTGGGAGCACTGATCCAACATTGAATTAGAGTTTGAAGCTTCTTCCATAATGTACAGTGCCCTTTTTATAGCTTGTGCCATCCCCATTTTTATAGTCTGCCATGTTACTAACTGCATCCACATCAAACACTTATAGTGTGTGTGAAATTTGGTGAATTCTTGTCTTTTCATGTTATTACTGTTGCTGTATGTTATTCAGGTACAAATAAATCAGCTTTACTTTTTCACCATTCTCTTTGAATAACCCTGTATAATCATAGGTTATATTACAAAGTTAGTATATTGCTTATTATAAGCTATTATTTTTGTTTTTATATAAAGTTGTTTGATTTTGAAGATAATCCTTGAAAATATTTAATTGAATAAAAAGTATGGATAAATTGAACATTGTCATTATATTACCAGTAAAATTTAACACATTACAGGAGTCATAAGTAAGAAAAGAATTTTGAAATTGAATTAATTACAGATGATAAAAATTTGTAAATAAAACTATAAAATTATATATAAATTGTCAGAAGTTATCATGTTGAAAATTATTTAACAACTAGAAATTCCCCCTTCAAGTATGATGGCCTACTTCCTGTCAAAAAACAGAGATTGAAAAGTTGAGAAGAGATTTCAATAAATTTAAGTAGCAGCTATTTCTACAAATTAAATAACTTATACTGTCCATTGGAACATTTGGAACATACTGTAATTGATGCATGATAATACATTAAACAACAGGCTTATTAGATGGTTACTTCTGAATGAACAATAAAACATCATGGAGTCACTATGGAAAGTTTTTAAAAAATGCATTATAGAAATGACATGATGTAACTAATTTTTTAAAATTTAACGTTTAAATTTAAAATTATGCTACTTGCCAAAATATTTTAAAATGCAACTTAAGGTAAATGTCACTCAGCTGGAATCAATAAAACTTTTTTATAGCTAATAGCTAATATTTCTGCAAATTAGCAGCTTATATTTTGTCAGAACATAAAAAGGATATAATCAAACTTTCACCCGATTGGACAAAAATAGCAGGAGTTATATAGAATTCATAAACACAAACAAACAAACACACACACTATAGCTTTTATATTATTAATTACTTCATATTAAAACAAACTTTTCAAATTTAATTTACTTTTATTTTCTATATTTATATATAATAAACCAATTTCTTACATAGAGAAAATGATTATATGCTACAGGATTATATTTACATTCATCCCCGTTTATGGAACATTACAAAGATGTCTCTAAATTCACAACATTCATTTATATATATATTTATAACTATATACACATGAATTCTACCATTAATGCTTATCTTCTACATTTGAGGCTTTCTATCCTATTTGTATTGATATATTACAGAATGAGAGAATGTTTTCTAGAATTTGATAAAAATCTTAAATCTATATTTTGATGGCAGTTATTATACTTATCTGGAATTATCTTACAGCATTTTTTGTTATACAGCTAATGTTCGTAAATTCTAAAATAATGAAAACTGTTAGGTATAGTAATTGTTATTAGATATAAATATTTATATGTTATGGGACAATTTCTATTTTTATTTTTCAAGCACCATTAATAGTTTTTAAAGGAAATGTTCAGTTTACATCATTTTTTTATGGTCGACATTATCGAAGAAATTAATGCCTTTATTCCTGAGTACTATAAGTTCTTCATTACAAAAAAATCTTTTAAAGATCAAACTTGATCGGAATTGTTTAAGTCACATTTACAATTAACTATTGTATAATATCAAATTCAAAATATAGACCACATGAAAGATAAAAAGTTACAAAACTTTTAATACTGTAATTTTCAAAAAAACATTTTTATAAGAAAAGGAATATATTCATTCCTGATTTCATATTTGGGATCATTAAGAATAGAGATATTAATTACATAAAATCTAAAATGATTCGTAAGTTATGACATTTTCAATAGGTAAATCACTTACACTGGAGTAGTCAAAAGAAAAGTTTACTTGTGACAAGTAGACTTTGCAACATGAGCTAATTATTTATTGCCCTGTTGTGTTACAAGAAACATTTAAAATTCCTCATTCTTCTTGTAAATAAACTTTTAATTTGATTACCTTGTATTATTACTAATTTCTATGTTACACGAGAATAAATAGAATTTTAATGTATGTTTTTCTAAAGGATGAAAACAATATCTCGATATTAGTATATGTGGACACAATTAATTGATTTTAAGTTCAAAAGTTAATTAATGTTTGTTAATATTCTGACAGAATAACTCTTATTAATCAGAAAATAACACATAATTTATCTTATCTGAAATTTAACTTTGATGTAAAATGAACATGATCTTTAAATACTTGGTTTGTTTTATTTTATTTTTTTTTAAATTAGTGAAGAAAGTTGGCATTTGTTACAAGACACATTGGTTACATTTTGTAATACGTGCATATTTACAATATAATTTCTTCGTATTATGAACATCTAATTCTAGAAATAATGTTGTAAAATATACATATAATCTTTTACTTAGTAAAAGTAATTTGTGCAAAAATTTCACACAAACATAAATGTTGCAGTTTAAGTAAAACTGCACATAAATTTATTGATATGTCACATCATCATATTGAATCTTTAATCAATGTAAAGCTATTAATATTTCAGTTATTTGTACAAGAGCAGAACTTCAAATTAGTTGTATTCAACATTTTTCTTAAAAGCAAATTTCCATTATTATGACATTCTCTATGAGAAGGCACATTAAAATGTTTAGATTTTGTTCTACTTTATGAAAAATTCTTTTTTTAGTATAGAATTCCAAATAAAATTTTGTAATTTTTAACTAATAACTGATTACTTGCACATTTTGTTCTTCATATAATTCTCAGACACACAAAATAGGTTAACATAAATTTAAAATTTTTTTAAATAATAAATTTGGCACTGAAATTTCTCTCTTGTTACTGTATAAGACAAATACCCTCCATAGTATTTACATATCCAACATGAAATTGTTAAGTGACAGTGACATTCTTTCAATTAGTCTTAAGCAGGTTGTAAAATCACAAAAAAAAATTGTAAAATCTGACAAAAAGAATAAATCTTGATTTTATAAATTACTGTATATGTATGACTAAATAATACAAACTGAAATTTCCTTCCTTTTTGTCAGCAAATAGGTTTCTTAAAACAACTTAAAAGAAAAAATACATCTTAAAAATCAAAATAAGTTAAAAATAAAATCATATTATAAAAATAGATCTTTTTTCCCGTGTTTAATATGTTTATAACTGTACATTACATATATTTTTTACAAAAGTATTTAAATTCATTCTTGAAAGTTAAGCAAACATAGTTCTACAAATAACAAATTAATCGAAAAAAAAATTCATTTCGGCCATGCAAAATTGTTGGATTCATATTTACAGAATCAAATTAAAATCAAAACAACAGACTAATGCTCTGTTCGTACATTTATAATTACGATGAATTATACACACACCTGAGATGAAGTTAAGATGAAGGCACCACATTTGTTGAATAATGTCTCAAAGCCATGTTCAACATTTTGAACTAAGATTTTCATCTAAAATTTTGAGATATGCTTATTCCATTTTTTTTTTTCAAATATAAGTAAATTGTTTGCCATTAAAAATTTTCACTAGTTTTTTTTATTAACTATTTTTATGATTATTTAATTAAAATAGCAAAATATGCTCAATCTTCCATCAAGAAATATTTGATTGTATGATAAAATTTAACATTTTTTTTCTATGTTTGCTTTTAAAAATTATCAAATGAATTTTGTTCAAAATCTCCAATAAAATATTTGATTCTTAATCACAGCCTTAAAATTTCATATAAGCTTAAATTTTGAAAATAATTCTTCAAAAAATAAAAAAAACAAAAAAGAAAGATAAAAATTTTATTTCAAATTATTTAAATATGCCATATACCACAACAATCTGTTTATATAATCTAGATGTTAAAAATAAATATACTGAATAGAGAACAAGAAAAAAAAACAACAATTAAAATGCAAACAGGTATTCTGTTACCTTTATTATAAAGGAATGATAAATCATCACAAAATTTATTTTACTTTCACGATAACTAATCTTGACCCTGTTTCTGATGGCACAAGGAAAATACTACAAAATACAATTTTGAAAAATATATAATGCATATATTTTTCTATTTTATATTATATTGACACATCTAGAATTAACTTTTTTTTTTTTTTAACAAAGCTTTTCACAATATGGTTTTATAGCAATCAAAATATGGCACAACTAATTTTGGAGAAAACAAAAAAATACGATAAAAGTAAATTTGAATTAGTTATAAATGCAGCAGACATATAATATTTACAATGTAAGAATATTTATATACATAATAATTTATAAATTTAATTACATTTATAACAATCATATTGCACCAAAATATTGTAAATGACTAGTAGATAATCTCAGAAAACAGTTAGTAAAAAGTTATCACTTTATAACATCTTATAAGAAATAAATTTTCAACTAACATTGTATGTACAATACAGATTGTTTCAAATAAATGATGGATGTGGTCCCACTGCTAATTGATACCAAACTAACAAATGGCAAATACATAGTTACCAATGCTCATGTTTGCTATATTGAAAGACAATTCAAAATAAAGTCCTGTAAAATTGTTTCTGTATAAAATACATAATATATTAATTATAAAATATTCTTCTTTTTTATTTAGGAATACAGTTAATTCTGTATCCCATTTAGTGTTTTAACCAATTTAAATGATTTGGATTGAATATATTTACATAAAAGTGTTTTGTGCCATCAATTCTAATATAATAATTTTGCAGTCTATATACAAATATAAATTCTTGGAAACTCAATTCTTAAATATAACAAATAACACAATGTGTTAATTTCTTGTAATTAGTTAAGTCATTAATTGGAAAAATATATTAGTTAGTGATTTTCTTGATATTAATATGCTAAAGCTAGGTTGGGTCTAGATACAATTGCTAATAATAAAGGAATGTCAGATGGATCTAATTTTAATGATTTTGCAATATTATCTAATTCTATTGATGAAGAATTATTAACAAATTCAGCTAGAGACAAACTTCTGAAATACAATTCTTGCAGTCTGCTCTCCAGATACATCATACAATTTTCCGGAGTAATGTCTAGTAAATACATTTGCGTGAGAGATTCACAGATTTCAGAAATGAGAGGTGACATCATAACAGGATTGTTGTTAGTATTGCTCAAAACAGAACTACTTGAAAGTAATTCAATTTTCCAATGATCAGTATCAGCCAAGATACACAGTGCTTCAGATACTTCATCTTCAATAAATGAGAATTGTNATCATCAGAAAGCAAATTTCTCCCAAACATTTAAATACATTTTATTGTATAGATAACTTTAACTGCTTATATAATGTATAAAAAGAAAGATATATTTTTAAACTTAGAAAAATTATTTTAAAAATTTTTTGTAACAGGCAATATGTAAAATGTGTCCTTAAAATTTTGTCCTTTTTTGTGCACATGAGGAATTAACAGTCTTCCAGACAGAGTCGACCTTCTTTAGAAGCTACTCATCTGCCACAATATGTAGAATGTTAAAATCTTCCCTCCTTTATCAAAATGTATATTTTTTAACTGATTCCACCATTGCCAGAGGGAAGATTTTAATGTTTTACATATTGAGGTGGACATGTGGCCTGTAAAGAAAGGTTGACTCTGCCTCTCTCAATTTAAACACTAAAATAGACATTCTGTATCAAGTTGATGAAAATGTTACAAGGAAGACACTACAGATAAATTTGGCATTGACATTTCCACTGTATCAAAACTTGTTAAAAACCATACCAAAATTCAAAAACTTTCACTTGTCATCAACTGCATCAGGTTGTAAGCAAATATGTGTAAATTCTCACTTGGATGTTGAGTGCATGCTGCTTAAATGGTTCAAGTAGACCTGTTCTGTACACTTGTCTACTGAAAAGTTAGCTAGTACCTAACCTTAAAAAGTTATAAACCTTCCTATGCATTTTGAACAGTTTATCTATTGTAATCTAACGATTAGGATTTACAATTTGTTTGTACAGTTATTACGTATTTATAAACAATTATTTTACATTTGATTTTTTTACTTTACTATATGTAATGAATTTGGTGCTTGATAATAACTTGTATGTATTTAATGTTGCAAATGTAGGATATATATATAAGTAGGTTTACGTGTACTGGTCCAATTAAAGCATTTTCATCAACTCTCAAGCTCACCTCTTAATGACAACTCTGCTTAATTAATAATACCATATTCTGACAGTCTCACAGATGTGATATTAAATGGGTTTGACTATTTCACTTTTTACAATATAATAAAATTATTTTTTGTACAAACGTAAGCCATGCTGGATATTCAATTATCCAAAGACTTCAAACCAGATTATTTTTGGCTATAATATGCTAATTATCAGTAAATTATTATAACCTATAAATAATCCAGCTTTACATCTTTGGCTAATTTTTATGTATATTATATTATAAAATCATAAAAATCAGACTATATAAACTGTAGACATACTATATTTTCAATCTTAATGTGAGATTGTGGAGATGGGGATTAAATTTATTAAATAAAAGAAAAAAACTAAAATATTATTTTGTCATTAAAAACAACACATTTTTGTAATTTTGTGGGAAAAGAGGAAAAAGGGGAAATAAACCTTCCTTTTTCAACTCCTGACTTTCCATGGCAAGATCTTATCACATATTTTTTGACAAACATCTATCAACTTGAGTCGTGATGAATGTCCCGTCATATGATAAAAATCCTAACCCCAATTGGAGGAGATTACAGGATATAAGGAGCTAACACACACATCTCAGGATTGACTCATGCATAGAAGAGTGTAGATCAAAGCTCCATCTGGCAACCCTCTCGTCTCCTCCAAATTCGCCAGCAAAAAGAGATGCAACACTATGAGAAAACTTCTGACTGTTTCAGAGGTATTATGCACTTGGTTTCATAAACTCTCTCTCTTGATAATTAGAGGAGTACATAGTTAGGCCATTGGCCTAGCTATATTTTATGCCAGTTGTATTTATCCATTGCTTTACCTAACTCATTAAACTTTTGTTTATTTGATGTTGAATGAATTTATTCAGAAATCGGGCCCTATTGACTTACCCACAGCACTCCCCACTCGAAGTTATATGCAGCCCTCCTACTTGCTTTTAACCCTACAAAGCCACCCACTGACAGTTGTGCAGGTCCTACCAGCCCGACGTTGCACTAAGGTGAGAAAAGTAGTAAGCTTCTCACTGTGGATTCTCGCATTAAGAACAGAAATTTGGTTATAAACAGGAGTTTATCTAAGAACACTATCATTAAAAATCCATTTACGATTTGGAAAGACTGTTTTGAGATTCAACAAATCTTAGGCGAAGTCAAGTCCAAGTCATTACAACAATGATTTAATTCAATAAACAAAAAAAAGCAATAATTTATTGTTATATCATCACAAATTCAGGCTGCCCAATAATTTTTAAATTTTAAATTTATTTAATTTAAAGTATATTCTCTCCAACTCAAATTAGTAGCGGCTTGCCCCTCTACATCATACTTTTACTTTAACAATAGAGCCATGCCAGTCATCTAACTCCTTTCAAGGAAAAATTTTTGAATTGAAATAACATGACTTCCAGCTTGCATCTGAAGTTCATATATAGTTAATCAGTGACTCCTGCTCTTATGCTTTCCATATCTGGTCTTAAATTTCATTTATCTAACACTATTTTTGAGATTAAGGAAAGATAGAAGGATGACTGGGAATTTATAGGTCTATAATTTTTTCAAATTGCAGCCCAATAATTTGATTATTAATACTTTGCATTTATAAATAAATTTTAATTGATGAAAACTTAGTTCTTTATAAATTAACCAAGATGATAATCAATTTTCTATTTTATTTACAAACATTTTTACTTAATCACCTTCCATAAATCCCCATTTTACTTAAATATCACAAGAATTCAGATCAAAGACCTTGAATATGTCTTGTTTCAAACAGACAAAGTTAATGTTTTCTTAGAAGTAAGAAGTCATATTGAAAATTTGTAAATTGTACATATCTCATTTTCTTTGATTACAAACAATCGTTCAGAATGATTAACCAAACAACTAAATTGAAATATAAAAAATAAAAATAATATCTAAATAAAAATTTTGTAAATAATTTTTAACATAGTTTGTAAATGGTCCTTTAAAAATGCTTAATAACAACTTTATTTTAGAAATATTTTCTTTAAAGATTTTAATAACTAATTGATTTGAATCATAGACTTTAAAAAGTGCTTAATTTTTGTTAGAATGCTTAAAAATTCATTATTTTTTTCTTATGAATTCAGTTTTCAAAAAGCAAGTCTAGTTTCCACTTGTAAAAAACACTACAGAAAACAAAAAACTTTAAAAAACTGAGTTTATCTTTTCCGTTATCAAATGCAAAAACAAAAAGTTAATAACTAATATAAAATGAGAATGGATATGACATTCAGGACAGCACAATTATTCCAATTTCTTTTTAAAGGTATGTTGTTAGATCAACATGCATGAATATCTAAAATCTTTCTAACATGTCGAACTGCCTTGTTTGATTTAATCAATTAATTTGTTTAGTAAATACTAAACAAATTAATTGATTAAATCAAACAAGGCAGTTCGACATGTTAGAAAGATTTTAGATATTCATGTTAAATTCATGAAAAAATTTATGTATCTTACAAAACTATGGGTGACAAAACAGAGGCTCTGTTAAGAGGTTATGAGCATCATCAGAAAATTCAGAAATTAAAATATAAATTTTTAAAAATTTCTAAATATTCTTTGATGTTTTTATAATGAATGGATGACCTCTGCAGTTTGATCACAAGCACTCTCTCGTCTCCTCCAAATTCATTTTAAAATTGTTTCCAAACTAATTTTGGTTGAAGAGTTCATATACTGTCTTGAACAATACAAACAAACTCCATATTCAATGGAAATCTGAAGAAAAATAGATTTGGAAGTCTTAAATTTTCTATTTTGTATTTTGTGTATCCAGTGAAGCAACAACTCATTAGCATTCTATCTACAATATATATATATTTTTGTAGTTTTTGAATTGAATTTGTATAAATAAAGTTATATCAATAAAAATTAAACTATTAACTACATTGATGATGCCAACCAAACTTTCACATAAAAGTTTTTTACATACAGAGTATACTTAAATGTGTTCACTCTTTTGAATTTCTAATAGTATTAATAAGTTTTGTCATATTCAGGAATCACTTCTTACATCCAATAATAACAACACTTAACATTTATATTTTTAAATTATTAAAATACTTTTTATATAATATTTTTATTACTAAATTGTAAAAACTGTATATTTAATATTAAATTTACACATGTTAATTATTATATACAATAAACTTTTAAAAATTACCTTGTATCCAAACAAATATAATTTTCTGGAAGAAATACCATTTCTTGTTCTTGGTCGTACACATCACAACACCGAATAAAATAACTGAGCACAAACAGAAATCTATAAATTATATTCATTTTCTTCCCAGTCACTATAATTCTTGTTACTTTTGGTTTATAATCAGTTGCACCATATATATCTCTGAAAAAATTCAATTATGAATCAAAAAATTATATTTTCATTTATATATCAATTGCATTTTTCTACACATCAATGTCATTTGTTTTTTTGAACAAAACAAATTAGTCTTGCTTCTTAAGCAAAAATATTCAAATTGTAAATCTTACTATATAAATCTGAAAGCATAAAACAGAACGAAGACTCAGACAAAAAAAGTAATTGATCATGGATAGGACCTAAACCCACATTTATACTTTGAATGTATCTTGTTTAACAATAATTTCAGTCATTTTTGTTCATGCACTAAATGCATTTTAAAGTATATAGAAAAATCTTACATTTGTTTAAACTTAAAATTTTATTCCAAATAACAGTTAAATCATAAATTAATATGTTAATGTAACATTTTATGATCTCACATTATGACTATTGTATGTGAAATTTATAATTACAATTTTTATTTTTTCGTGATATCACATATAGTATCATTACAGTATATCATATGAAAATGTCAGAAAAAAAACAAAGGTAATTTTTGTTTAAATAAAAACAGAATAATTTCAATTTCTCAATAGAAATAGAGTAATGCATTGTTCTTACCTATTTCACTCATAGCAGATTGAGTGAAATATTAAATATAATTAAGTTTTTACCTATCATTAAACATAATTCAAATATACACTTTCTAATGGAAGCACAATCTGCTTTCATGTCTCATCAAGATAGTGAACTGGAAAGTTTGATCAAAATAGGACTACAAAATAGTGTTATTGATGACTAATCATTTTAAATAATATCCATAGTACTTGATTGGTATTGTTTGTCCATGGTGCTGCTACTTAGGCAAAATGGACAAATAATTATAGTTATTTTCATTTTTCCATTCAGAATATTTTTTATTGCAAATAATAGTAAATGTATAATTTTTAATCTAAATGTTTGAGTTTAATTTCATAAAGTAAGCCTGCACAAATAACTGAATTTGAAGCTCACATTTTGATGCCTGTTTTACATTTATTGTAAATAACTATACAGTTAAAACTTTTCAACAAGCTTCTGTAAAAGTGAATTTAGAACAGTAATAACAACAACATGTGATTTACAAGGAATACTACATTCTTAATGTTTAAACTAGTAACTTTACAAAACCACAAAAACTTTTTTGGTTATCTGATATACCTAAAATCAAAAATATTTATAAAAATTTCTATTACAACTTACCAATGATCAGTATCAGCCAAGATACACAGTGCTTCAGATACTTCATCTTCAATAAATGAGAACTGTAACAAGTAGATATAATAATAATAATAATGAATACAACAGAATAAAGTTTTTAGATTATAAAATTTTATATAGTTTCTACAAGAATATGAGATAATGTGCTGTAAATAGAAAGCACAATCTCAAACAATGTTCAAATTCAAAAATCAACAGTTCTACTTTTTTAATGATTAGGCATATATTTAAAGAATTAGTAATTTAATCAATAATATGATAAGTGTTTTTTTCTCATCTTTTATAATTTAGCAGCATGATGAAAATACCTTACTAATATGTTGAAACTATATTTACTGATCTCTATTTTTAGATTATTTATATAGTTTTATATAATTAAAAGAATTACTTTGGCAGATGCCACTAAATCTTCAACAATTTCATCCCTGAGATTTCTATAATTTAATTTATTTCTAAAATCTCCATGTATTCCTTGTAAACAGAAACATGGCATAAAATGATCATTAATTCCAGCCATTAAAGACCATCCTAAACTTTTATAAACATTTTCTTTTTTGCGTTCTCTTTCTTTGATCCTTAAAAATGGCATTTCCAAGCGATTTGGTAAATTATCAAATAGTTCCTCCACCTGAAAAGATGTATTAGTGTTTTTCAAACAAAATTCTGTCTGATTTTGTTTGTTATCTTTCATACTATGATAACCTTCTTCTGGACTTTTCGATCTAATGCAATAGCTGTCACAATTTACTTCTAATTTTGATTTAGCGTCCTGTGGGGGCCGAGGGGGGAGAAATAAAAAAATCTCGACGAACGATAATAGGTGATATATATCGTCATCGTCTCCCTTGCCGTTTGGATTGCCGAGCGGTAACAATCAACGACATGTGGAAGCAGTTGAGTCAGAGATAGATGCTTCGTTTACAAACAACACAACCGTTTATTAAACACGAAAGAAGCTTACAAGACTACTGCGATCTTGGAAGTTCTACGTCGGCTGCGGTCGCTGGGTCTTCCTCTCCTTTCCAAGATAGTCCCATTTTGAAGGAGTGTCCCTTGTTCGCGAATGAACCATTCCATCACGTCTGGACGACTCCGGGACGATGCGGTCGACTTCCGTTGAGGGAAAGATGTCGATCCGAGGTCGGGAGATGGAGACGAAGATGGGTGCGAGACACACACACAACAACAGATCCGTCACTTGGAACTTTTGGGAGAAGAAGCCGTCGCGTCCTTGAATTTCCGGGGTTTTATCCGTTTTCTCTCAGATTCCCCTTTCCGATTGGTCTCCCGTCGTCACCTGATGACAATTCGAAACCTTTCGGGGGCGCGGGAGAGGTCAAAATCGAAGTTTAATTCGATCTCCAACCGGAAATGGTCGACGGACTTACATTCTTCTATTGTTTAAAAGTTTTCTATTGTCTAGCGTCGCGTTTTCATATCAAAAATCTATTTCTAACTAACATATTTTTTTCTTTAAAACAATTATTTTAACGCGAATTTTAGTGAGGGTTCGGACCTGTCCAGAGCCTCACAATCCTGTTTATTAGTGAGAGTAAAACCCATAGATTTTTGAGGTGTAAATCTAAGATTATGATATTCTTGCATAAATAATTTGCTATCATCAATAGATTGAATAAATGTTTGATTATCTTTATTTAATGGAATATCTTGATTTGCAGATTTTGACTTTTCTAAATGCGTATCATTTTCTGATGTAGCATTATCATCATTTTCTTCAATCTCACTAATAGTGAAAAGAGGATTTGCAAACAAATTTGAATTATCTATAACATGATCTATTTTATAAGGTAATGAACAGACTAATTTGCCTTCTTCAGGATGATTTGAATACCTATGCTTCTTATTCATATTTTCAATCTCATTAATATTTTTCATTGACTTATTTGTAAGTGGATCTTTGCTGTCGTAAAGCATACTTTCCACAGAAGAAAGCAAGTCTTGAAATGATTTATCATTATACACATTTGAATTTCTGAAATGTTCACAAAACTCACAGAAATCTTTATCTTTGCATTCCTTACACAAGAAATGATTTGCCTGGCATACAAAGTCGTGCCACTTTAACCTTTCTTCTTTTGTAGCGAAATTATTTCGTATTTGTTGGTCAATTTTTGGATTTTCTCCAATGAAAAACTCCACATTTTGCTTCTCTTTAAATATTCTGTCTAACTGTTTAGAATTATGATTGGCTAAAACAAAATTCTTATGATTTGAATGAAATTTTTCCCAACATAAAATTTTTTGTAGCTTCACCTTATCATCTAAAGATTTTTTTCTCCTCCTTTTGCTTTGAAATTTTTCCAGCCATTGCACCATTCTCACAAAGATCATTTACAAGTGTAATTTCTGAAATAATACCATTTTCTGTTTTAAGTGGTTGGCATTTTACTTTTAAACTCTCAGGCATATCTTTTATATCTAGAGTTTCATTTTGAAGTTCTCTGTCATATTTTTCACAGCTGTCAGAAACGTAATTAACAATAGGTTCAACATCATGGACTTTATCTTTGTTTAAAACAACTGGAGATCCAGCAGTATTTGGTCTTTTTACTGGTGAATGCCTTGTATCCAAACAAATATAATTTTCTGGAAGAAATACCATTTCTTGTTCTTGGTCGTACACATCACAACACCGAATAAAATAACTGAGCACAAACAGAAATCTATAAATTATATTCATTTTCTTCCCAGTCACTATAATTCTTGTTACTTTTGGTTTATAATTAGTTGCACCATATATATCTTGTAGTTGTAACCATAAAGGATTATATGAATGAGATTTGGCAACTTGATCCATCCATTTAGATTTGTTCTTCTGATGAAAATTTTGATGAGAATAAACTTTTGAAGGAACTACTGTTGACACCCAAGATAAATGATATGTAAGAACTGCTGTCAGCAAAGTTGATACAAAAAAAATTTGTGTTCTTAGTATCAAAATCTTCTAATAAAGAAACAAATTCTTCAACTAATTGACTATATTTTGTTTGTAAATCATCTACAGAGGTCATTATTGTCAACCACATTGGAAACTGAAGTCTAGGTGCTGCATATAAATCTTGTAGTGTTTTCAAAATCTCAAAGCCCTTATATATATTATCAATAAAATTTTTTCCTTGAAAATAAGCATCAGTTACAATCTGCTTTAATTTATGCATATGACATTCAATCAAATTTATATGAGAAAAGAAAAAGTCTTCAAACAAGCTTTCTTCCTCTTCAAGTTTTTCTAAATTAATGATAATACTAAGTCCTAAATTTACTTTTCTTTTAGCTGGTAAATTATCTAATGATGTTGATTTGGCAGTATTATGAGCAACTCCATATTCTAAACTTGTAGTGAAATTTCTCATTTCTGAATTCTCATTGTATTGTCTCATTGTATTCTCATTGTATTCTCACTGAATTCTGAATTCTCATTGTAGTGAAAATTCTCAGTTCATAACTGCATCAAAAACGCTTGCAGGAAAATAAAATATTCCTTAACACTTTTTATGTGAGTTTTTCTCCTTGTGTCAATGTGCATGTACACACAAATGCACATAATTTAGAAATATACTCAAGTAAACATAATTTTTATGCAATAGAATTCAGTTACAGAATGTAATAAGTTTTTGAAGATGATGATGTTGGATAGTTACTAAAATAACATAGTTATACTTTATGATTACTTTGAGCAGAATGATATGGATATACAGGGTGGGCCATCGAAAACGAAATGGCAGAGTTATCATGTTCGTCCAAGCAAATCGCTTGGACAGGTCGATTTTATTATCAAGGGGAACATCATCTGCAATAAAGTTTGTGATTTTGAATACAACAGACAACAAAATATTTTAAAAACTCATTCATTTTTTATTAACTAAACAAACACTTATTTCGGAAAAAAGTAACACAAACTATTAACAAACATAAAAAAACCTTTTAAGCTGGACCGCATATGCAAGGAAAAAAATATTTCCCCTTGAGAATAAAATCGACCTGTCCGAGCGATTTGCTTGGATGAACACGATAACTCTGCCGTTTCGTTTTCGTTGGCCCACCCGGTATAGTTTTAAAACTTATTTTTGCATATAGTTTTTTCATTCATTTTGATTAATATTTTTATATATCAATCAATTATCAATATATAAATTAAACTACTAAATAATCTTTAATAATCTGTATCTTCAAAATATTCTGAACCAGCAATTCCTAATAAGGGGGATACACACTGATGATTTAGGGTACAACGTTTAAAAAACTGTGTGTAATTGTACAGCACTGTATAATTGATCAAGGTGCAACTGTTTGACAAACATGTGAAATAAAACTTAGCGAAAATAAGCAACTAAGGAGTATGCAAGTAAAAAATGTTGGGATCCACTGATCTAAACTACTAAAATAATCTTAATAATAATCTTTTCACCCACAGCATTATGTTTCTCAATTATTAATTTAATTATTCATTGATTTACAGGTATCTCTTCCTTAATGCATGGTTTGATTAACATACAAAATTAATTGTAGCAATCCCTTTATACGCAGCAGATGATATCCTTGTCAATGATTTTTATATACTTTTTTTAATTAACATGGCTTTAACAGCCATCTTTACTTAACATAGATATGTTTTATCTTGGCAAATTAAGGTTTTGGTAATTTTGCTATTTTTGTTTATTAAAATAAAAATATTTGTTATTAACCAAAAATTTGTCCTAGGGGATAGTGATTGTTTGATTGAGTATCGAGGTACCACTGTACTTGATTAATGTGATTTTGATGTATACAGTACATGTCAAGAAATTTATTAATTGCATTAATGAAGGGATAACTGTAGTAGGTAACTTATATATAGTGGAAACCTGTCTACTACGGAAGAGTTGTTCAGTCCCTTGGGGTTTCATTATAGACAGGTTTAGCTGTACATGCAATGGTTTTAAGGATAAAAATGTATATAATAATATACATTTTTATCCTTAAAACTATTGCATGTACTAATTTTATAATAACTGATATAAAAAATGTTCTTTTTTTATATGATTAAATTCATTAATTAAGGAATAAAAAGTGGCTTAAAATTAATACAATATAAATCTTTTATATTTAAAATTTTTAATTCAAAATGGTCATGGCCATCTGTTTTATCCAAGATTTTAGTTATCCAAAGTAGCATTGGATCATACTACCTCAAATAATTGGGGTTTTACTGTACTTCTCATTTTTACTAATGTGAATTTCAAAGAAATTCATATATTGGAATTACTTGATTTGAATATCATGATGGGTATTAAAGATCATCATTCATTAATTTAGAAATTCAAATACCTGGGTATAGTTGTATATTTCCCTGCAAATCATGGAAATTTTGATTGCAACTTGAGAATAGAATTCCCTTTTTAATATGAAACTCTAATGCTTGATTTTCACAGACATTTTTAGCAGTGTATTATGTCCAAAACTTAAGGACTACATGTATTTTTCAGTTTGTATTCATTTTTCATTATAAGTCTTAGAAATATTTCTATCTTGGTTTTTATAAAATTCAATCTGCAGAAATTTTGATTGCAACTTGAAAAATCCTGATATTATTTCATTTTACAAAAACTGTCAGAACTCTCTATAAAATCGTTCCATTAATTTATTATATAATCATCCACATATCTGTTGTAACAATAAAGAAACATATATTTCATTTAGTTTCTTTATACTGTATGTAAATTTTGTTAATACTGTATTTTATTAATGAGATGTAATATTAAAATAATGCTATCTGCTTTATAAATACTTACAACATCTTATTTCTTTTAATATTATTTTTTTCCCCTTCACTGTTTTAAAGATGTTACATTAGATCATAAGATTCCAAAATACAATATTTCTGTCA